TATGCTAAGCCAGCCAGACCCCATGTGAAAGTTCTACTCCAAATATTAACACGTAAGAAATTTTAAAAAAGCTAACATCTAACAGACAGATGTACAACCTGCAAGAAAATCAGGTTTTAATGTACCATCTGTAATATAACTCATTTTCACAGATCCTTAAACATTCATGATACTTAAAAGATGCTTGCAAGATTCTGGATGACTTGGAAGCATGCGATCCCAGAATATCCTAAATTTCTTTGCATGTAAGTTGTGGAAAAAAATATGTACACACATATTACATATGATAGAGGCAAACAACTACTGTCTCCAAATAACCGAATTTTGAGAAAATCTTAAGTGAGAAAGATGAAGGGACTGAGAGACTTCTAGTATCTGACCTTAAATTTATCTTCTAAAATTACATTCAATTACAAATAAACAAATACACAGGAACTTCAAAAAGTTCATGGGAAATGAAATTAAAAATTTTTTTTGGTGCAAAACAATCTGAAATGCACGTGTAGTTTTTTTTCATGATATGCATTTTTCATCAACTTCTGGAAAACTCTTGCACTTGTCAAATCATAATTTTCAAAATCAACTATGCATCGAGTAACACAGCAACAGAGTGGTTTGCTCGTCAGTTCTGTTTACTCAGACTGGCACAATCAGGAGCATACCTCAGTATCCTGATTTCCTAAGTCAACAGGTCTGATGCTGCAGCAATAGAGGCTTGGAGACTTCATCATCAAATTAAGAAAGATCTGCATGATTAAAACAGTGCTCTTTGTTTGGTATGACTTGACTGGGAGTGACTGACCCTGGATACAGAGAGGTTCCACTGCAACATCGTGGTCCCTCTTCCAGATGCTCACTAATACAAACATCAGACCAGGGGTTATGTGACCAGGGCATGTACCCCTCCAGGCAAGGCAAATGCCGTGGTGGTTTCAGGGCAGCTGGTTTACGCTTGCTGGTCCTCTTCCTGGGAGTCATGGGATAATGATCTCATTGAAGCACTGGGGTGATTCTTGCTAAGGAAAGGTTTGAGAAAGGCATGTAGCATGGAGTCAGTGATAAGGCCAGGGCTGCTTTAAACCAGCCCTATCTTGCATGACCAAGTATGTCACGAGGGGGTATCTGCTTTTACAAAGAACCACTTATCAAATCTGCACTCTCACAAGGCCTTTTGATCTCCACCTGACTCCTACTCATTGTTTGATTCTTGTCCCTCATCCTTCATTTCAGCCGTCGTTACAGTCAAAACACCCATGAAAATAAAATCTAAGTTTTTATGTATCTGTGTAGGGAGCCTGAATATAAAAAAAATCAGGGAATCAGAAGATGCTCCATTAAAATGATTGTATAATTACTACTTAGTGCCTTTCTAGTAGAAGGATGAATTCCCTAATGATAGGTATTATAAGTAATTAGACAAAGCTGTTCACTTTTCAAAATTAATCATCAATCCTATTAATTATGTCTGTATTACACATCCTATTAAATTAGCACACATAATGGGAGGCCTTCCCACATCAAAAGAGAAGCATATTATTACACATTAGTGCCTTGAAATTAAGCTGAAAGGAACACAAATACTTGTAATTAGAAGACTACTTTTAGTAGGATCGCTACTTTTCATTTCTCTTATGGTTAGAAAAAAAAATGGGTATTTCACAAGGCAAAAACAAGCAAATTGATTGGTTTTGACCACTGAAAAAAAGGGGGTCAGCTGAACGCTATGTTTGCCTAAAGAGGAAGAACATTCACCCAGAGCGGGGGCTTGAAGCCATGGTGAAGTCAGTGCATGGGATCCTGAGAACAGACAATCTGGGTTCAAACTGAGAAAGTCTGAAACAGGAAACAATGCAAGCACCAGCTCTTAGAATCAGTTGGGTGCTTTGAGATGTGCCTAATGATGGTATGTTTCCAGCTTCTTTTCCTTTGTGAGGGGAGTTCTGGATAGTGAGGAAGGCTTTGCACTGAGGTATGCTTGTGTTGCCCAGGATTGGCACCCTTAGAGAGGGCGCAGGCTGACTGATAAGAGAACAAGTCTAAAAGCAAACTGGACAGATAGGAATCCCCACGTTATAGTTATGAACTGAAACTGACTTCCTATGCTTGGACACAGCAGACAGGATGAAGAAACCTAACAAGACTACTTACAAAACGAGTATGGTGGAGACAGAAGACGCTTAATAACACAGTAACACAGTAACACACATGTAGCATTAAGGTAAGTAAGTACAACACACAGTTACCACTTATCAAATACAACGTCTCCCCACATGCTTCTCTGAAAATAAGTCATAGGTATATGAGCACAGGTTACAAGGCATCAATATGGGGGAGAAGAGTAGCTGGGGAAGATGTAACAGCATCTGAATTTCCACTATATCACCGTGCATTTATATGAAATGCAATTAAATGAAAGTGCTTGCAATCTAACTTTAATTCTGGATCATGTATTTGCCCTGTACACTAAAAAACAATGTGTACTTTAAGTGATGCGGGAATTGCAACAAGAAATGTAAGGCACCCCTCGGAAAAAGAAATGAGATAGAATACCATGATTTGCAGGTTTCTTTTCAAATTTTGAATTTAAGTTGGTTTTATGAGAAAGAAATGATTGGTTATTAGCATATGGAAACATTTTTACTAATTTCAAATTCACCAATTAAATAACAAAACACAACAGAAAGGAAACTTTTATCTAAACAGAACAATCTGAGAATTTCTTAACACATGAAGTATTTGCTGCTAGAATTTTCCTTGGACAGTGGCAAGGAATTCTCAGGTCACCTGGGCCCTGATTTCCCAAGTTCTATCTAAGCACAAGTGGCTGATTTTTGAATTTTAGTACTGACATTTTGATATGTAAATATCGGTTTCGAACCCCCATGCTCCTACCCCACCATCTGAAAGAGTAGTTTAGTTACGGCTTTCATTTAGATTTACCCATTTAAATATGAATTTTGATCATTTATTTATTTATTTTTTTTTTTTTTATTTTTTTGACAGGCAGAGTGGACAGTGAGAGAGAGAGACAGAGAGAAAGGTCTTCCTTTGCCGTTGGTTCACCCTCCAATGGCTGCCGCGGCCGGCGCACCGCGCTGATCCGATGGCAGGAGCCAGGAGCCAGGTGCTTTTCCTGGTCTCCCATGGGGTGCAGGGCCCATGCACCTGGGCCATCCTCCACTGCACTCCCGGGCCACAGCAGAGAGCTGGCCTGGAAGAGGGGCAACCGGGACAGAATCCGGCGCCCCAACCGGGACTAGAACCCGGTGTGCCGGCGCCGCTAGGCGGAGGATTAGCCTAGTGAGCTGCGGCGCCGGCCCGAATTTTGATCATTTCTTTAAGAAGGTCAGTAGCACTAAATTGGATGTATTCTTTGATACATTTTTAGGTCCATTTAGGAGCTACAAAATTTATTGGTAGTACAGAGAGTTCTATAAGGTAGGGTTATCAAAAGGTTTGCTTGGGAAACCTGGTCTATGGTTATTGCCCCACCATTTCACTTTAAAGCATGACGGTTTGAGGAATAAATTACATAGGTGATCATTCCAATAAAAGGAGGTAACCCAGTATTCAAAACATACTTTTTAATATTCTTTGACAATTACATAAAGAAAATCTAGCTCTATAAAATTCCTGAGGATAGTTTGTTTTAAAAAATATCTTTCCACCTCTTATATATCAAGCAGAATAAAAGACTCCAAGAAAGTAGCCCTGTCCGATGGCCTGAAGTCAGAAGACAAAGAGAAGTGGTTGCATTTCTGAGCTTGTCTTACAGCCACCATTCATCAGTGAGTCTAAGGAAAGTATGACAAAGCTCTGTGGCCAGATCTTTCATTTCCCCCAGGTATCACTCCAAATATATGTGTTGGCTTGCTCCGGAAAGCATGTTAAATCTCCAAAAATAAGTACACAATACTTGCACTCACTACAGTTTGCATAATGTTTCATTTTCTGTTCTGATTCTGAATTTGTTATTGGCATGATATGTGTCTTGTCTTTCACTTGACTTCACGAGCTTGACAGGATACAAGAGCAATAAAAGAGAGTCAGAGCCTTGGGAGCAGAGACTGTCCTTGATTAGAGAGCCAGCTGTCTCAGCCTCGCCTTCTGGTCCCTGGAACACCATTTGGCTTATGTCCACTGGACCAGTCTTGGTACGGATGCTAAGGACTAATATACATATGTCCTCTGCTCACATGATCTGTCAGCATGGATCACAGGAAGGAGAGAGCTCTGTCAATCACTCAGGCCTCACTCTGTATGTGTAGAACATCAACCAGGACAATCACATAGTTTAAAAAGAATTAGAAAATGGGGAAAACTGGAAGGTAAGATTAATACTTCATGGGCGCCAGGTTCTAGTCCCGGTTGCTCCTCTTGCAGTCCAGCTCTCTGCTGTGGCCTGGAAAGGCAGTGGAGGATGGCCCAAGTGCTTGGGCCCTGCACCCTCATGGGAGACCAGGAGAAGCACCTGCTCCTGGCTTCGGATCAGTGTAGTTCTGGCCATTGTGGCCATTTGAGGAGTGAACCAATGGAAGGAAGACCTTTCTCTGTCTCTCCCTCTCACTGTCTAACTACCTGTCAATTAAAAAAGAAAAAAAAAAGATTAATACTTCATATGTAGCTGAATTCCAGCTGTGCATAAACCCTTACACATTAAGTGTACTTTAATGTATTTCTTTCTGGGGGGAAGAAGACCACTGTAAATACCCACGTGAAGAAACAGAGCTTTGATACTGAAAATCCTGTACTAGCAAAAGAGACCAATAGAACACGATGGTGCTATACCCATGACATTCTTACAAAGCATTCTTTCATTCTTAATGTGCTTTATCGTGGAAGTACATCTACCACACCTTACCTCTGCTTGATGCTCCTACCATGGGTCTGTGTGACAGGTCAATCAGAAAAAACAATTTCAAAAACTATGAACTGATCGAGGCACATGGGTGTCAACGTGGCCACTGGTTGAGAAGAAGGACTTTTTTTCATGATCTTACCTATGCAGTAGGGACAACACTGGCCTTTTCTCAAGACAGGTCTTTCACAGGATACAGAAGGGCAAGACTCAGAGTAGCAGCTAATTACGCTATCCATGCACACGCAGCTGGTGCAAACGTCAGGCTTCCAGGACTCAGCTGCCAGGAAAATATCCCCTTCGTCATTTTTGCAGTAACTAGGCACGCTGTCATTATGGGACGAGGAAGGACGCAGAGGTTCATCTGGAAAAATGAACATACAGGTCAGCAGAGAAGATGCTGCAGCCACCAATGGTGCCACGCCGCGAGCTTCACTCAGACATATCAAAAGCACCCAGGGTCCCCAGGGCTCCGGCTGCCTCCTTAAAACGGAGCGGGGGTCTCAGTCGTAAATCAGGAGGTGTGATTCAGAGAGGGTCTTGAACTTTGAAACAAAATAACAAAGATGAGAAATGACCTTTCACAGAGATGTTAGTTGCTTATGCAACATCCACTCTATCCTTCTTCCCCAACTTAACAAAATCCTGATTTTCTCTGGGGCAGCCCCAGGACTGGGAATACAATGGGAGCAAGTCTATGAAAACAGTTCTCTTCCCTGCTTTCCCTGTATCTTTGCAACTAGGGTGACCATGTCACTTTGTTACAGCTAATGGAAACTACTAGCTAAGGAGGGGACTTCTGGGAAAGCTTTCTCTTTTTCAAAGGGTTGGTAAGCTGCTACCAGAGATCCTGCCTCATTCTTGAATATGTGTGTGTTGTGGCTGCAACATCTTTATCATCCTTCTGTCAGAGAAAGGTCCTGACATCACTAAACAACCCAGAATCAATGCTGATAAACATCTGCCCCCAAACTTCTTGTAAAATGAATCCTTATTTGCTTAAAAATTGTCTCTGGGTTTTATCTGATCTGTGGTCACAAGCAATCCTAACCAATCAATGCCCAGAGTTTCATGTACCAGACTATCACTGTCTAGGCATCTACACAAAGGGTTCAAAGATAAGAAATGTCAATTACTCACAAGGATGCAACCAAAGAGAAGCCACCTGGAAGCCATTTATGTCTTTGCTATTTAAAGTCTTTAACTTAGAAGTTCCACAAATCAAGTTGCAACTTGAAACAGAAACAGAAAGACACCAGAAAACCCAGATATCTTTTTGGGAGGTGAGAACCCATGAAATGAATGAAAATCCTAACCTCAAGTAGAAATATGATTAAGATATAAGACAGGAAAATCTAAGTTGGTGCAGTTCTTGGTTCAGAAATGTCATGATCCTACAGATAAAAGAAAGTACTTCCAAGCATCCTCACCAGTCGGAGTCTAGACAGAGCCAGGACAGTCCTAGGAGAATCCCATTTTCTCAATGCATACATGGTCAAAAAGAGTTAGGCTCAGTTCCTCTCAGAATCAACTTCATACGCTCTGGTATTTCCAGTCATGAAGTACAAATACCTGAGATAGGCATGTAGTTATCTTTTTATGCAGAAGCTCTGAAGTTCGTTTTCCTTCCCTTGGCCTCGTGAACATACCCTATGGCCAACGAATTTGAGTTGCTAAGAGGAGCTGCTTTGAGTACAAGGGCAGCTGCTCCATTAGGGGCCCTTTCCAGGAGACAGAGGAAGCCAGTATAATGGAATTGGCTCAAATTCTCTTTCAAATTGTGCCACCGTATCTCCTATTACCAGTCCTGCATGCAGAAGGCACAAGTGAAATAAGAGCCATTGGTTCCACTGCTCCAAACTCAGGTTCTACCTGTGAGATCTGATTTCAGCTATGGTTCCAGAGATCCCATCCATACTAAGCAAAGATAGTAAAATGGGATTCCTTTCTCTATGTCTAGGGATAATTTCTTCTTTAATAGATGGGCCAATGCAAACTTTTGCTGCAGATGGAAAAAGGACAACTCACTCTTGTCCACACTCAACCCTACAAATCACCAGAAGGTTTCTGTGGCTTACATTAGCTTGCTTAGCTCTTAGAACCAACACTTGATCTTGGCCCTAAAAATTCAGAAGAGGTAGAAGGGACAGCAGCAATGAAATGGCTGCGGAGATAATATCCTAGAATCTGGAGGCCTCTTATTGAGGCCTGGAGAGAGCCTGGAGGTCACTGGGATGTGCTGGAAGCAGCAGAGAAACTCTTAAAGCTGAGCCACAGGGTGTGCAGGTCTCTGTGTACTAGCCAGGAGGTTCCCATCCAAACTCTGAGTGTAAATGCCATTTGGAGTCTTGCGCACAGCATTTGCCTTCTTTGGGCCTCTCTTCCTCTTTTCCTACTCAAGAGGCCCCTTCTTTATACTGTTTCAAAAACATTTACTCCTTTATTTTACTTTTATCAGTTTTTGTAAAAGTTGATGGTCATTCACCCTTTATTTCTTTTCTACGGCCCCTTCCTCATCTATACTACACTTGTTTTCCAGTATAGAAAAGGAGGAAAGAAAAAATTTAAAAGGTATAAAAAAGAAATAGATCCTTTCCTATTGTTTCTCTTCTATATGTTGAGGAAGTAGTGCACCTGCAGGGATGCTTAATCCGTCTTCATGAATCCATTTCTCTACCAGACCTTGCCTAACCTAGAACACGGGAAGTGGAAGGGAGAGGGAATGACAGAGTTCTAGAGAGGATCTCCAGGAGAGATGCAGCTCTTCAACAAATATATCATTTTGAGATATTTGAGACTGCAAGTGTCCTAAAATCAAAGGTGTTATTTTTCTAGATCTGTAATGCACCACTTATTGACACTACTATAGAAATTTACTATGCTGTGAAAAAAATGATACGTTGGCTTTTAAGATTTCTTATCACTGCAGTACAGCTATGAATGGGAAAGTCCAGATCTACTGGGGGCTAGATGACTGACTTTAACACAGAGATACCGGACATGGTCTTACTCAAGACATAAGAGGAGTCTTTGGAATACTAATAGATAAAACAGAAAGTCCTCATATGCTGAAGATGAGGAATATCGCTCAAGTCAAATGGAGAGAAAAACAATCATCCAGGCTTGTATTTATAAATGAGAAGTCAACCCAGGCACGACAAGGAGGTGCTCGATAGGAGAGAGGGCAAGGAATGCAGGAAAGCTGCAGTTTCCCGCTGGAATCCACGGGCCTCTGCACATGCGCACCTCGACTTGAGGAACCCCGCTCTGGGAGAGCTCGCCTTAGCCCTCTCAGGAGTTCCATGTCCCACAGCTCTCCTGCTGTGTGGGCTGCATCTCTGCGTCCCGTCAGTGAATCTGGGCCAGCCAGTGGGTCCTAGAGAAGTCTCGCCCCACCACTGCCTCTCCCATAGTCAGTTCCTGGGGTCAGCGCTCAGATCCTAGCACAGATGTCTCCAGGGTGCTTCCGCCTGGTTAAAGCTTCCTGGGATACATGCAGGCTGCGTCCTCCCTTTCAAGGCACGCCTCTTACATTATCACTATTTACTTAGTGTGGAACCCTAGACTGTTGGGTTCATCTTTTGGACTACTGCTCCACAGCACAGGGGCTGTGTCTGTTCTCACCAACCTCAGAATCCCTGTGGCTCAACTCTGGCATTCCGCAAATATTTGGAAAGTGAGTATCTAAACAGATGCAAATTCATCATCACCAATGAAGAGATAACGTGATTTCTGCAGGGAGGATGGAAACAGACATGGCTAATAACAGAGAAACATCAGCAGGGTTGGACCTGAGTAAAATCATGATAATGGTAATATCTATCTATCTATCAATCAATCAATCAGAGAATAGGTCATGTGTATACTAAAAAAAGGTAACATATGTGAATTCTTTTTACACCAAAAAGATATTGTATCAGTTAAGCTTCCCAGACGAGCAGAGACTCTAATCATACCAAAAATTTTGTACTGAGACAATTATACTCTGACTGCAATCCAGGATGACAACAAATCATGTCACTATTACTGTTAGTTCAAGTAACACAAAGAAAAAAATACCATCAATGTGAGCACATGGAAGAATTTAGGCTCTGACTACACTGGATATAATGGTAGAATAACAGATTCTGGCCAGCCAACAAGATAATCCAATGCGAAAAAAAAAAGTACTAAAATATGGAGGTTTATGTTTTAATAAGCAGAAACTAAGAACTGCTAGGAATGAATATTTATAATGTAAATGGTTATTGATTTAGGTTTTAAAAAATGAAATAATAATCATTACAAAATAAAACTAGTTCTAACAACTTGGCAATTTTGTGCAAATTAAATATCTTTTTAAAAAGTTACATAGTCAAGTGTTAATTAGAAGTACTATTTTAATTGTGATACCAGTAACTTATGTTTAAAATCCTGACAAATTTTCACTAAAACCTATTTGTTTCATAACCATAAAATTACCTCCTAAGGTCAGATTACCTGAGAAATAAAAAATAAAATAATAATATTCTTTATACATGTACAGAGCTAGTTCCTTAATATTTTTGGATATTAACTTATTAATCACAACACGTTTAGGGGGCGGCATTTACTTTTTTTTTCAGAGTATCTTCACCACCCTTACATTTTTCAAATAACTTATATTGTATATTGCCAATATTGTTCTTCACATATGCTAAAGGCAAAGATTGATTTGTCCCATTAGCAAAATATTTGGAATAGTTTAGGACAGTAAGGCTGTCTCCGTGGGCTGTCTCTACTTAGGTATACTCATTGAATCAGATGTAAGTTTAAGGGGAAATTATGGCGGAAAGAGCAATCTCCTTTATTTTTCAAAGTCACTCCATGTGCAAGCCACATTGATTGCACAAATATGTGGTTGATAGAAGGGAATGGATTTAGGAAGAGGCTGCCAGGAGTTCCTGCCTGGGTTTGGCGAGCTCCTCCATGGGGTTCAGCCTGAGCTGCTGGGTCCTGCAAAATGATGCATCCTACAGCCATGCCCGTCCCTGCCAAGCACATGCCAAGACGCTGTGTCAGTTACCTGTGCACTGTGGGCAGCAGGAGTCCTGGGTACGCGAGGGGTTCTGGCACAGCAGCGGCGGGCACACCTCTGTCTCACACAGCACTCGGCCACTGTGGCAGGTGCACTGAGTACAGGAGTCGATGTTCCATGTTTCTCCTTCCACAAAGTACTCTCCTCCAGGAGCATGGCAAATGGAGGGAGTGCTGAGCTCTGGCTTCTGCACCACAAAGTCATCTGCAGAAGGACACAAAAGCAAAACATAAGACATTATTCATTTGCAGTCTTTCCAGGGTGTTGTTTGCTTTAAAAGACAGAAAAGATGAATTGGCTGAGTATCTCACTTTATTCTTATCAAGAGAACAGTAATGAAAAAAATATCCCAAGCACAGAAGCAGAAGACAATAGCAGAAGAGCTCATTTCAGGAAGTGAGGTCCAAGTGGTTCACAGCCATCAATAGTCCCGAGAGAATTCAGCCAGAGAATTAAATTACAGGGAAGGGAATCCTGTTCTAGAGAAAAGGAGGAGGGCCTTTCGGGCATCTTGGAGAATATGTGGTTGTTGTCTGGAATGAAGAGCTCTCAGGTGCTGAATGCTTGCTACAGCCCAGTTATTTTCAGGATCGGGACTTTACATTTATTCATTTCATTTATTCCTGCTTTGACCTTGTGAGCGAGGCACTATTTTACATATGAGGAAACGAGGGCTTAAGGTACTGAGTGCAGACAAGGGACTAGAAGCCAAGGCTATGGTGTTTGGACCCTGGATATGCCTCCAGATTAAACAAAACTTCCAGATGATCTATGTTAGATCCACTTCATTATCTCTGGGATTCCAAGCACTTGGAAATACATCCTGCTGTCAGCAGGCCACACCCCACTCGCAGCAGCCTGCCAGCAAACTGAGCAGGAATGCTCCTGCAGAATCAACAGTCTGAAAACCCTCACCTGAGACTAAACATTTGTGTGGTGATATCATCATCAAGAGGGGTAAATGCTAAGATGCTGATGATAACTATGATTGCTCTCTCCAGAGGAGAGCTGGCTTTGGTCCACTGAGGAGATGATAATGATGGAGAGGGAAATTTAATGCTGAAAATGTCTGGAGAGGTACTGGGAGTCTCCCTGAAGTTGTGCTGGGGAAATGAGATGGATGAAGATGTTAACCACGTTTGTGACATCCAAACACAACAAGCACTTCGAGAAGGTGTTGACAGTGTTGACTCCTGCCGAGAGGTAGTCTGGAGCCATCCTGGCTAGCTTGTGCTTGGAGCTCAGTGCAAGTTGGGCCCAAGAAGTACCTTGTCTGTGCAGGGATGCTCAGAGCTGAGACTGCCTACGAGTACCCTGGGGCTGTACTTTCAAAGTGGTAGAGTCAAAGACACTGATGAGAAAATGTGGCTTGGGGTGATTTCCAGCTAATAAGGCAACTCCAGTTTTATGTTTAGGGAACTAATAACGACAAGAATTTTGTCCAAATGGACACATTACAGAAAACTGACATTAGCTGATGCTGACACTCACAAACAATTGGACAGACTTTCCAGCAAATGAAGAGCTAGGAAGATAATCAGAATGAAGACTGAGCCGGGGTAGGATGAAAAAACTGTTCCAAAGGGCATTACTAAATCAATGCTGGAAAAAGGCTTAGAGGGGACAGTGACTGCCCTTTTAAGTGCTCCATGGAGGGAGGTGGTCAGGTGAGAGATGATGTGCGAATGTGCGTCCCACCTTTCCAATTCCTTTGCTATATACTCTGTGCCTCAGTACAAAGCATGAGAGGGGCTGGAGAGATGTAAATGACAGGTGGAAAAAAATAAAAAACCGAAAGGTAGAGAGTAAGAAAGAGAAAAATCTGAGAGGTTTTCTACCAGGAGTAGCTCATTTATCCCAGGAAGAAAACCAGAAAATCTTGTTAAGTAGGAGTCCATGAAGGAAACAACTCTAGGCTTTGTAGTTAGAGACATCCCCACGTGGCAAACTAAGAAAGACAAGACTGGAAAAAAACACCATGCTGCATATCCATATTTCATGGAGGTGCTTTGCGTTTATCCAGATAATCACACAGCTGAACTATATGGCAGTATCTGTGTATGCACAGAAACTTTCCATATCTCTGAAATAGAGAAAATACTCCCCTGTCAGGTCTTAGGTCAGTTACCTGTTTTTTTTTTTTTTTTTTTTTTTTTTTTCCCCCAAGAGTCCACAGAACTCTCTCATTAAACTGCTGGTTTACCATATGATGCAGTGGACACTAGTGGTTTTTCACATTTAACTAGTAGAATCTACATAGGAAAAAAGTGTCAACACAGCTAACTGAACTACAGGGAAACAAAACAAGCCATCTCTTTTTCACCATAATATGGGCCTGCCCAGGGACCAGGATATGGGAAATGTTTGTGAAAAGAGTTTACATCAATATGCTCTCAATGTTGAAAAAAGGTAGAAGAGACAAAAAAGAACCCTGCAAGGTTCTATGAGTGGGGTCTTAGCTGACTTTTATTCTTTCACTCCACTTTTTGGTATTTTATACAAGCACTGGTTTTCCACTGCCTGTCACTTTGATCTTGTAGTGACTGAAGTGTACAGAATTGCAGAGCTGAAGGGGTCTTCAAGAATCCCTTTATCCCACCCCCGACCAGGGCAGAAAGGCAGGTGCAACCTGGCCAGTGGGAGGCCACTCCCCCACCCAAGTCCTGCTTGGGGCATAAGGACTGGGCCTTCACACAGGTGGACTCATCCACAAGGACACACAGAGCCAGGACTGACCGGAGGAAATGGCATCTGCCAAGACCTTTAAATGTTAAAGGGACTGATGTGAAAATCCAGAGACTTCATTTCTCCCAGACTTCCAGCGGATGTATCATTTTACTTGGGTAAGAGAGTTAATCTTCCTATGTCTTTTTCTCTAGAATACTTTTCTCTAACTCCAAGAGGCCTGCACAGTAGAAGGCGTAACGGATGCAGAAGTGTGCTGAGCTCTTCAGAGACAGGGGTGAGATTTTATGGTGATAAGTACTGTTTCTGACAACCATATTGCAGACTCCCATGATCCACAACTCTGTTCTTCTAACAACTTACCTTAATGGCCATAACTGTGATTTTTTTTAAAAAAAAAATTTACTTAGGCTTTACAAGAGTCATATATTTCATTTATACAGATTTAGGAACATAGTGATATAACTGTGATTTTAAACGTTTAGGATATGTGGTCTCTCTAAATTCCTCCATTTGGCAAGAGTGCCACATGTCCAGTAACTTAAAAAAGAGTCCTAGTGACAGACTTGAGGAATCTCTACCTCTTGGATATGTTAGTTTATAAGGAATAAGCTTTTACAGAATAACACTAGCACTAATCCCCTCCAATTAACTAAGACATTCAGCCTTTATAACACTATTGATCAAAAGGAGAGCTGGAGTTTAATACATATGAGCCCACCAACCTTCACAAAAATGTGATTCAAAGACCTAAATATAATTGAGTAAACCATTCAAAAGTAAGGAGATGGGGTTGGCACTGCGGTGTAGTGGGTGAGGCTGCTGCCTGCAGTGCCAGCATCCCATGTGGGCACCAGTTCAAGTCCTGGCTGCTCCACTTCCGATTCAGCTCTCTGCTGAGGCCTGGGAAAGCAGAAGAGGATGGCTCAAGTCCGCGGGCCCCTGCACCCAAGTGGTGGACTCGGAGGAGGCTCCTGGCTTCAAATCAGTGCAGCTCTGGCCGTTGCGGCGATCTGGGGAGTGAACCATTAGATGGAAGACCTCTCTCTCTACCTCTGTCTTTCAAATAAATAAATAAATCTTAAAAAAAAAAAAAAAGTAAGGAGAACAGTTTCTAGAGCCTTAAGAGTTCTCTCTGGTCTTTGGCTAATCATTTGGAGTGCCCGGCTGATTTTGTGGCCGTTGTTGACAGAAACCATGGAGAGCCAGAAAGTGTGCCAGGGGCTGCCCCCTGCATGTCCCCCGGAGATACAGGTGTGTACAAAGCCCTGCAAGGCAGAAGTCAGGTGGAGCATATGAGACGGCGGCCAGCTTTTACCTGCGCAGGACGGGCAGCACTGTCCAGGATGAATGGTGGGGTTGCCACAGGCAGGCACCGGGCAGGTGATCAGGGCACACATTTCCCGTCCATTGTGACAGTAGCATTCCCGGCACCCATCATGCCAGCTTTCCTCATTTTTATGGTGATGGCCATCCATGGACAGACATGTGCCTGACAAGACGGGTGGCCCGGCTGAAGCAGGGACCTCTGGACAGACAGAAGGCAGCCTGGTAAAGAAGCAGCTACTGCACAGGAGATACAGCCCCTAGTGTCCTTAGGTCTAATGGAACCCAGCCACCAAAATCATGTTGACAAAGGACAGTCAGGGATATGGGAAATGCTTGTGAAAAGAGTTTACACCAATATGCTCTCAATGTTGAAAAAAGGGGGAAGAGACAGAAAAGAACCCTGCAAGTAAGTGTCTCTTCTACGGGTGGGGTCTTAGCTGATTTTTATTCTTTCACTCCAGTTTTTGGTATTTTATACAAGAACTGGTTTTCCAATGGGTATTGTACATATATTTAGTGTATATATATAGAATGATCACTCTAGAAGTTTCATCCAATAGGGAAATCCTGAGCCTGGCGCAGCTAATAGGTTCCTGTGCAACAACTGAAACAGGGACTAGACTTTTGTTCTCTGACTCCTTACAAACACTATGAAGGGGTTAACTGTCCAACTGTGACCAAAAAAAAAAAAAAAAAAACCCACAAAACAAACTTGAGGGACCATTTATTGCCTAATCTGTAGATCACACTGTCAACTACAAGGTACTGGGATGTGCAGTGGGGCTGGGGCCTGGGTAAGGGCAGAAATGGCAGCTAAGACACATCCTCATTGACTTCAGATACATGCCTGGAGCAGGAACTCTCAAGCCTCAGGGATACACGGGACTTGTGCTTACGCAACAGCTGTAGGCTGCCATGTGCCTGAGCAGGAAACACAGCCGGACACTTCCGCTACAGCAGCCTTCAAGGACTTTGGGGACCTTTACTGTAGCAACTACACCCATTCCACTCCTGAACAACAGGAGACTCCATTGGGGTCAAGATCAATGTGCTGCAGGCTAAAGTTCCTGGGACAGGTAAAAGTGAAGAGCTCAGAAGTAATTGATTTGGGCAGTGCGCCTGTTCATAGGCTGACTTTCAATTCTATTCTGAGGCTTCATTCTGTTAAGATGAAAGGAGAAGGGGGTCTTGTGGGATGGTCCCACAGGGAGTGGCATTTGTGACTGAGAAGGCAGCAATCACTTCAATTGTTTGCGCTACACCATGTCCTCCTGCTCTTTGTCTCGGTGCCCCTGGCGGCTTTGAGGGAGAAGGGCCATGCGGTCAAACTTACCTCTGCACTTGCAGATAAGACAGCCGTGACTGTCCTGCTGGAACCCCAAGGGGCAGATTTTACTGCATGGGAGCTCTGGACATTTCTTACAGCGACAGATGTCACAGCCGTGCTTATTCTTCCTGGGTAATTAAAATTTTGTCAGAGGTCAGAAAATCAAAAAGCCTCAAATGATGTCCAAGAACTCAGACCAAGGGTCAATGAAGTGATACTGCTATTAAGCAGAGTGACTTGACTTTTGTTTCAAAGACTCTTGCAGTGATATGTAATTAGCTCCCTGTGGCCATAACCACCACTCACCCATGACCAAGGTTTAGAAAAGCCCAAGCACTTAAGTGCTTCTAGTATGTGACTGACAGAATCCCAACGACATGACTGTTGATTTAATTAGGAAAAGTGACAGCACAACAGGAACAGAACAATGTACCACTCATTGCTGGTCAACGCTGGAGACCAAAATTGGGGGCAAGAGCTCTTCTTTTGTTAGAATTACTGTCTTCTTTACATGACCACATTCTCCGAGGGATTCTAGATGCTAGTTAAAATTTCAATGAGGAAAACTCACAGAAGGAAGGAGGAGAATTTAAGGTCCTATAAATCTGGGAATGCTACGTAAAGACTGATAAAGATTAAAAGCCACAGAGACTATTGGTTAAATTTATTATTTAAGTTATTGAAATTGACTTTATTAACTCTTTCAAATCTGCTGCTACATAAAGAACAATGTCATGAGCCAATAACTGGATGCAAGGTAAGAAACCTTGGCAGGCAGGGTAAGTAGGATGCTCTTTATTGTGAATGCGTTGCTATCAACCTATCTTAAGGTATAGGTTAAATAAATTATGATAAAGTAGCCTCTGGGATATCATGGCAATTCTGCTCCCCACTCTCTTAGGCAGTCTCAACGGGATCTTGCATGAGATTCTCACATCACATGGCCCATTTCCATAAGATAGTAAAACTTGGTTATCTTTGGCAACACAATCCTTTCCCTGCTTTCCAACTCACCTATCTAAACAAGCATGGGTATTCGGGACTCAGTACATTATTGAGTCATTCACACACACATACAAAACAGCCAATAAAATGAGTGTGACCGTTCCATCAAACCTTCATAGGTCTTCTGAATTAAGAAATACGTACAGGTATCCAAGTGGACAGTACTTGTCACAGATTATGGGTCTGCACTTCTTGGGCCGTGGGCGGCACTGACAGATCTCACAGTTGTGGGCATCAGTTAGGAAACCAAAGGGACAGTCCAAGGTGCAGCCGCGTTTAAGGCCTGCGCACAGCTCTTCTCCTGTGGAGACACACAAACAGCGTGTTTCTTCCAAAGACAACAGCACGTCAATACAACACATTTCCCAAATCCCCTGGCCTTGCACAAATTTAAATTTCTCAGCTCTACCATGGCATCACACATAGCTAGAAAATGCAGATTGTGGGGTCAGCACTGTGCTGTAGCAGGTAAAGAAGCCAACTGCAGCGCCTGCATCCCATATGGGCACCAGTTCAAGTCCCAGTTGTTCCACTTCTGATCCAGCTCCCTGCTAAAGCATCTGGGAAAGCAGTGGAGGATGGCCTGAGTACTTGGGTTCCTGCATCTGCACGGGAGACTTGGATGAAGCTCTTGGCTCCTGGCTTCAGCCTGGCCCAGCCCTGGTTGTTGTGGCCATTTGGTGACTGAACCAGCAAGTGGAAGACATCTCTTTCTCTCTGCCTCTCCCTCTCCAGAACTTTGACTTTAAATAAATAAATAAATCCTTTAAAAAATACAGATTGTGCTACTTCATGGTTAGTACAATATGACTTTGTTCTAAAAAGAATATAAAAAATTACTCTGAAGAATGGATTTCTAAAGGTTGCGAATCTAGCAGTCTTGAAGAATATTGAAGAGCAAGTAAGCTGGTGACTGTTAATGATTAAGTGCATTTTTTCATGAATTTATTAGTCACCTTAAATCACTGATAACCATTTATGTTAAAATGTGGGAATCAGGCAGGTGCCGTGGCTCACTAGGCTAATCCTCCACCTTGCGGTGCCAGCACACCGGGTTCTAGTCCCGGTCGGGGCGCCGGATTCTGTCCCGGTTGCCCCTCTTCCAGGCCAGCTCTCTGCTGTGGCTAGGGAGTGCAGTGGAGGATGGCCCAAGTGCTTGGGCTCTGCACCCCATGGGAGACCAGGAGAAGTACCTGGCTCCTGCCATCGGATCAGTGCGGTGCACCGGCCGCAGCGGCCATTGGAGGGTGAACCAACGGCAAAAGGAAGACCTTTCTGTCTGTCTCTCTCTCTCACTGTCCACTCTGTCAAAAAAAAAAAAATAATAATAAAAAAAGTGGGAATCAGAAACACACTCTCCCAATATCACTGAGTACTTTAATTCTATTGCATGCCCATGATAATGCATAATATTTACTCTATGGGTGTTAGATCACATAATGTTAAATTCACATAATATTTACTCTGTGGGTGTTAGATGGTATCATATAATATGTCATACTGCATGTAGCACAGATATTTCTTATCCTTCCTTTATAAAAAAGTAAAGGTGGAGAGAGATCTTCTATCCTCTGGTTCACTCTCCAAATACATGTAACAGTCAGGACAGGGCCAAGCTGAAGCCAGGAGCCCAAAATTTCATCTGGGTGGCAGGGACCCAGGTACTTAAGCTATCACCTGTTGGCTCCAAGGGTACATACACATTAGTAGGAAGCTAGACTGGAAGTGGAGAAGGCAGGACTCAAAACAGGCACTGTAATATGGGATGCAGACATCTCAAGTAGTACCTTACTTGTTGCACAAAACGCCTGCTCCTATCACATTTTTTCAGAAGGGAAAAGGAAAGGGGATGATGTGGTACAGGGCGTTAACCTGACACTGTGACCCCAACATCCTGTATCAGAGTGCCTAGTTCGAGTACTGGCTACACTACTTCCACCCAATTCAGCTTCCTACTAATGTGCCTGCAAAGGCAGTGAAAGATGCCCCAGGTGCTTGGGTCTTCATGTGGGAGAATGGGATAAAGTTCCAAGCTTCCTGCCTTCAGCCTGGTCTAGCTCTGGCTGTTGCTGCCTTTTGGGGAATGAACTAGAAGATGGAAGATCTCTTTGTGTCTTTCCTTTCAAATCAACTATTCAATCCTTAAAAAAAAAAAAAAAGGAATACAGCTATGAAGTGATTGGCAAAATCAACTACTGGAGAGAAGAGCTTCACAGAACCTTGTAGAATGATTTTGAAAGGTTTTGATTAAGAGCTTTGTGGAGAAATACAGGGAATAGAAATGGTAAGGTAAGAAAAGCAAGCTTTGTGATATAAATAAAGTAAGTTGAGACCTGTCTGAATTGAATACAGAATTTGAGAGACAAGCAAACTTAAAGAAGAGAAGTTGATATGATCATGGCAAAAGTATGGCAATGCTTGAATACGGGTCTGCATGGATGGGAGCCACAGACTGTTACTGCTAGAGTGATCAATGCATTTTTACCTTATTTGGACACTCTTTAAGCACAAATATAATAATAATGTATAACATACTAGGAAAAACAGAAATTGTATTTGTACCTTTCACACACAAATCTTATAATCTAAAATTAAACTTTAACTACAATTAATAGGTGAAATGGGTCCATGTTTTACATAAATATTTTTAGATAGAATCTTGGTTGGCAACATTTGCATATTTAATTTGTTATCTTTTAAAAAAGGAAAATGTGATTTATGGGATCATTTTCTCCTTTGTCATTATCATAACCCTTTCATTACACATTTAATATAACCTCATGGGTTGGCATCACACTGCGAAGCAACTGAATACTAATCTGCATCTTTAAAAGAGACATTCTAAATGGCTCATTAAAAATTTGTAATTATATGGCTTAGAAGGTCATCATTTTTCATTTCCCATTATTACAGGAATGATGAAGAGGGAGAAGCCTTTCACAGCCACGTTTCTTTTGCTGACACAGAGAACTAAGTTGTGACCTATTTTTCTATCACAAGAATTTTTAAGTCATGACACCAAGTGGATTATGTTGGGAAATAGATGAATTAAAAATACTCCTAGAACTTCCTGGAGTTGACACCCTTGGGGATTAAATTCAGTGGAACTTTGAAGTTCAAGCACCTTTGTGCCTTTATTTTTATAGTGTTCTATAAACGGAAGTTTCTCCATATATCTTAATCTAGAATGTTCTACATTAATCCTTAAAGAAAATTGTCATCATTCAAATTCAACCAATTAGATAAAAACCAAATTTGTCTTTAACCTAACTTTAATTTGCACTGGAAGGAAATTCCAAATAAAGGCTGCTATGTTTACTGAAATACAGGGTATTCTTTCTTTCTTTTTAAAGATTTATTTATTTACTTGATAGAGTTACACAGAGAGAAGAGAGGCAGAGAGAGAGGTCTTCCATCCATTGGTTCACTCCCCAATTGGCCGCAACGGTCAGAGCTGCGCTGATCCGAAGCCAGGAGATTCTTCCTCGTCTCCCATGCGGGTGCATGGGCCCAAGGACTTGGGCCATCTTCTACTGCTTTCCCAGGCCATATCAGAGAGCTGGATTGGAAGTGGAGCAGCCAGGACATGAACCAGTGCTCATATGGGATGCTGGCACTGCAGGCAGCGGCTCTACTTACTATGCTACAGGGCCAGCCCCCAGGGTATTCTCTAGAAAGCAGCTTGGTTCTGATGCCGAGGAAGGGATGCCCTGTGCTTCACTGACTTGGAATTGCTTACCTGCATTCTACGGTCTGGACTACATCAACTCTGCTCCCCAACAGAAGAGAGTTCCAGGGCTGCGACATATTTTCTTATGGTATTTACATTATAAATGTTATAGTATATAACTATATAAATGTTACAGTACTTCTTACAGTCCAGTGACTAGTGCAGTGTTTAGTGTGGAGTGGGTATTCAACAAATATTTGCTGAGTGGACATCTCAATCTATGTTCTTGCCACTAACCCTCAAGGCTGCTATATTAACAGAGAAATAACAGCATGAAAAAGACTTACTCTTGGCCGGCGCCGCAGCTCAATAGGCTAATCCTCCGCCTTGCGGTGCCGGCACACCGGGTTCTAGTCCCAGTCGGGGCGCCGGATTCTGTCTCGGTTGCCCCCCTTCCAGGCCAGCTCCCTGCTGTGGCCCGGGAGTGCAGTGGAGGACGGCCCAGGTGCTTGGGCTCTGCACCCCATGGGAGACCAGGAGAAGCACCTGGCTCCTGCCTTCGGATCAGTGCGGTGCGCCGGCCGTAGCACGCCAGCCGCGGCGGCCATTGGAGGGTGAACCAACGGCAAAAGGAAGACCTTTCTCTCTGTCTCTCTCTCTCACTATCCACTATGCCTGTCCAAAAAAAAAAAAAAGATAGAAAAAGACTTACTCTGATTTTGCTAAATACCTTAAAGTACATTTTCTAGTTCAGAAATAGGAACCATTAACAACTGGAAAGTAGTCCTAGATCTATGTATCTCATTTGCGAATTTTCCTGAAGAGAAATTGATCCCTGAGACAGGTGTTCAAATAAAGAGCAGAGCAATGAGACTGGAAATAGCTTCTTCCCGGAAGGGAGGGGCTTCAGTTTGTCGGGAAAGCGTTGGTGCATCACTCGAGACAGCTATGAGGAAAAACATGGCTTTATGTTCATAATTTCTCAGCATTATGCTTTCGCTGTGATCTGAAAGTGCTTCTCAATTCACTGGGGGAAAATTACCATTGAAGAGAAAGTGATAAATACTGGCAGACTACAAGGACTGTATGCTGTGGCTGGTCGATAGTAAGCTTTCTATTTAGTCAGGAAAAACAGAGGAATCTGGTTTTAGCGCCAAGAATGCACCTGATCCTAAGTGCAACCCCAAGCAGAACACAATGTGAACAGCGTCCCCCAGAGCTGCGCTGCACCCATCTTTGCTGCAGTACCTCCAGCTCTCAGGTACCGCCAGTATCTACCAACTGTCCTCAGGAAGGCCCGAAGCTACTGAGACTATGACATAAGGAAATGCAATGCTGGACGCTGACAGATGTTAGCTCACAATTATAATGCTAAAATGAAAACAAGCAGTCGGCCTCCTTGTATTTGGTGCCGTGACCTTCTGGGAGTGTTTGGTTCAGATACAGATTTCATGAAAAATATAAAGGCTCTTCTCTCCCTACTTCATATGTCTGCATCAATTCGTACATCAAAGCATCCTGAATTCCAAGACTTCAAGCACATTAGAACCAGAAGAGAAGTTACAAATGATGCAATCAAATCCACTTGATTTAAAAATGTGAACAGTAAGATGCTAAAATATTGACTCCAC